TACTTCTTTCAATACAACCTTGGTTTAATTTGTAAACTTTTCTCAAAATTTCAATAAGTGTTTAAACCAATCTTCCTTTAATCATAATCTCGGCATAACTTCAACTTGTAAATTTTTCTCAAAATTTCAACAAGTGTTAAACATGACCTCGGTTTAACTTCAACTTGTAAATTTTTCTTAAAATTTCAACAAGTGTTAAACATGACATCGGTTTAACTTTAACTTGTAAATTTTTCTTTAAATTTCAACAAGTGTCTAAACCAATCTTAGCTTGTGAAATTCCAACTCCCAAGCATCATTCTTCAGTCGTCTGCCCCCTAATGTGAACTTACATTTCACATGGGTTCTCATTAAGCATGTGGCTTTGACCTTGTTGCCAAGGTCAGATTCAAACAAAGACTGGCCGAGGTTCCCAACCTTGGTCTCTTTGTTAATCTGACTGATATGCACTTAGTTCCAATTTGTGTCTGATTTTGCCGATATGACAAGTCCATGTTAATCCAACTTAGTTCAACTCTATTATATACAAGTATAATTCAACTATGTCATATAATAAGTCTAAGTTATTCATCATGTTTCGCTTAGAAACATCGCCAACTTAGTTCAACTCTATTATATGCAAGTGTAATTCAACTCTGCCATATAATAAGTCTAAGTTATTCGTCATGTTTCGCTTGGAAACATTGCCAACTTAGTTCAACTCTATTATATGCAAGTATAATTCAACTATGCCATATAATAAGTCTAAGTTATTCGTCATGTTTCGCTTAGAAACATCGTCAAGTACTGGAATCTAGGATTCGAGATCTGGAATCCAGGATCTGCTCACTTAGGCTGAGCTCTTGTCTCCTCGGACTTACTCATCTAGGCCGAGATCTTGTCTTCTAGGATTTGGGATCCGGGATCTGGAATCCAGGATCTGCTCACTTAGGCTGAGCTCTTGTCTTCTCGGACCTACTCATCTAGGCCGAGATCTTGTTTTCTGGGCACCAGTTTTGGTCGCTGGTGCCGGCATGTCTTGTAATAGGGATGTCGGCTGCATCATGTTGTTCTGCAACATGAGGTTGACCACTGTTTATAGATCTGTCATCTTATTTGCCATGTCTTTTAGTTTTCTCGTCTTTTCTCCGGCATCTGTCCCTTCATACCTAAAGGTTGCTTTTACGGTAGTACTTATCTCGGCCTGCTTTCTTCGGTGCGTCTCCCTATTGGCCGATGTTATTCTCCTCGAGATTCTGATCCCGTGCTCTTTCTTTACGATTTTTTTCTTCCATGTTTAGATTGGCAAGTTTACCATCTCCACTAGGGATGTCGTCCCCAATCTTTTCTCCCTGCTTGTTGTTGGCCATCTATTCTCCTTAAGTTCCCCCAGACGGCGCCAAATTGATTTTGTGTGTGTTGATTTTTGACCACACTGCCAATCAAGCACTCAGCTGAAGAATACTGGCAGAATAGATTAAATTCGAATAACCTATTACAGAAAGAAGAGATTCTGGCGGTGGTTCGTCCACCCGGGGGCACTCCGACGATCAAGTCAGTTATCTCTCAAAGATAGCAAAAGTACTTAACTCACTATTCAGAACATAAAAAGCATACCTTAGACCCATGTGGGTGCCTCCCTTTTAGAGCCAACACAATCCTAGTCCTAATAGAAGCCTAGCTTCAATGGACTTTGGATTACTGCTAATCTTGGACTTCTAGTAGGATTGGGATAAACTCTCTAAGAGTCTTATCTTTATCCAAACTGAAGCTTCTCTCATTCTAGGACTCTTGTCCCTTATCCGCTTATCCCGGATTCAGGTATCTTCGCAGATAACCCCGGCCTAGCTGAAATCACCTCGACGTTATGACCAGGACACGTGGCACCCCGGCTGACACTCGGTGACACCTTGGCCACGTGTTTGTCACTCAAAAATTATGTCCCCACAATATGTATTTGCCCCTCCCCCCATTCCTATATATTAAAGTAAATTTTGAGAAAAAATAAAGACTCTCTTAATGTAATATAGTAAACGCTATAATTTTAACATAATTACATTGTGTTCCCTCATTTTAATTTGTATAATACTTAATTTTCATCAATAATTTTTTTAGTTATATGGATAAGAAAAATAATATTATCATCTTTTGTAAACAAAATTGTATATTTTGAATTATTTATTTTGTACTTACACAATATCGGCATTAGTTTCGGTCCATTTCACTTTACTAAAAGATATTAGCGTAATTATATGAAAAATATGAGGGTTAATGTATTTTTTTTGAAAAATTCAAAAGAGGTTAGTGTAATTTACAATGCACAACATAAGATTTTTATTGAAGAACCACATAGTGGTATGGTACAAATTCAAACTCTAATGTATCATTAGTTAATTTGACAAGTTAATACATATGTTAATAGGTAGTCACGAATGTCCCATGCATTATTAGCCTTACAAAAGATAAAGTCAATTTGAAAATGTGATAACTTTCTGTATCAACAATTTACATAAAATTACAACTATGTCAATTGTAATGTTTATCATTTACTTCATTTTACTCAAAAAAATATAAATGTTATAACACATTTTTATATTAAATTTGAAAAGAAAATTATCACATTTTCAAATTGACTATATCTATTGTAAGGCTAATAATGCATGTTACATTAGTGACTACCTATAAACACCTATAAACATATGGGGGGATTTCGTGATAGACCCCTTACTGTCTAATTTGTCTTTCAAATGGATAAAAATTATATAGATCCTTTCAAAACCCCCTAATATTTTAAAACTTGTTTATTTTACTATAATACTCTCATGTATATATATATATATCAGCTCTCTTGTAAAGTCATCCTCACAGTATATTTTAGAGTAAAATTTATTATGATTCAAAGTAAAATTTTATATCATTAAGCACATATATTGTCTTAGAGGTAAAATTTTACTCTCATTCTACCAAACAAAAACGGAGTACATACCAGAGGAAAATTTTACTCTCATTCTGTCAAACAAAAACAGAGGACATACCAAAGAAAAAAATAGAGAAATAGAGAGATAGAGAGAGCACATATATTGCCTTAGATTTGGTTCAAACCAGAGTAAAATTTTACTGTCTAAAAAGTAGAGCATGATGAGGAGACAGAGAAAAGGATGAGAGAATACAGATCTGAGATGATAAATCTCAAATTTGACGTCATCAATCTCAGATCTAAAGTCTTGAACGCTAAAAATGACGATAGTGGCATGAAATGGCACTGGTGGTTGAGAAGCTAGTGGTGAAATGGTGGTGGCGGTGGTGGTGATGAACAACATCGATGGTTAAGACAGTATTGGTAGGGACGACGGAAGTGGTGGAAACGATGGTAATCATGGTAGTCGTGGTAGTAGAGATGGTGATGGTGGTGGTGGTATAGACGGTGGTGATGGTGGTGGAGAGAGCTCATAGAAAGATAGAGAGTGTGTGTGAATGGGTAAATTTGCCACACAAAATATAAATCTAAAATTTTTTGTCCTTTATACAAGACTTTATAATTATGAAAGAGTTTTAAAAGTATATATATATATATATTTTGGGTCCTTTTAACAAGAAAAGGAAAGTATGAGAGGGTTATGGCCAAATTTTCCAAACATATGTATTAACTTGTCAAATTGACCAACGATGCATTAGAGTTTGAATTTGTACCATACCACTATGTGGTTCTTCAATAAAAATATTATATTGTGCACTTATATCTTTTAGGATAAATTACACTGACCTCCTCTAAAAATTTTTTAAAAAATACATTAATTGTGTATTTGGAATTACTATTTTAATAGACTATTTTAGTTTTTGACTTGGTTTAGTAAGTTAAAATTTTTGTGTTAAGGAAGATGATTAAATTTTTTTTGTAATTGAATATGATATTTGTGAGAAAAAAAGTAAAATGATTATAAATTTGATATGACATTTTATCTTATTAGCTATTTTAGTTGTCTTTTTGTGAATTTTAACTTAAAAGAAGCTAAAATTTTTCTTGCCAAACACCCCCTAAGTCTCACATTTTTTTATATAATTACGTTAATCTCTCTTTTAGTAAAGTGAAATAAACCGAAACTAATGCAGATATTATGAAAATATAAAATAAATAACGTAAAATATACAAATTTGTTTATAAAGGATGACAATATTTTTTTTTTATCCATATAACTAAAAAAATTATGGGTGAATTACAAATATACCCTGAAGTTTGCTTAAAATACAAATTGTCCCCCGTGGTTTAAAAAATTACAAATACCTCCCAGACAAAAAATTTTATTTAACAGAATTAATTAAAAAAGTAAAATTTCTAACTATTCACCTATATAATAATAAAATTATCTGAATTATTATTAAAAACTGTTAATTAAGTTAATAATTTAGTAATAAAAAGACTTATTTGTTATGAAATTAGAAACCTTAAAGGGGCATAATGTAATTTCTAAAATCACAAGAGATAATTTGTAATTTAAGTAAATCTCAAGAGGAATGTTTGTAATTTACCCAAAAATTATTGAGGACAATTAAATATTATACAAATTAAAATAAGAAAACTCAATGTAATTATGTTAAAATTATAGCATTTACTATATTACATTATGGGAGTCATTTACTATATTGTTATGGGAGTCCTTATCTTTTCTCAAAATTCACTTTAATATTTAGGAATAGGGGGGAAAAAAGCATATAAGTAGTGATGATTTAACATTAATAAAAATTTATATGTAGTAAAATAATATAAATAGTTTATCTGTGCATGTCAAAAAATATTGAAGCGAAAGAAATTTCAATCCACCAAGTAATTGTTGAATTTCAATTTCAAATGACATTTAACTACCTAAATGTCAACCATCGCATGCCTTGATTCTTGATCAAAATTCAATAAGAATTAACATTTTCGTATATATATTTTGATGAACCCATTTCATATATAAAATTGGGATATATATATATATGTATATCAAGCATTATACAAAAAGTTTTGTTTCACTTATTGATTGCACTACACAGGCGGTCACACATCACTTGCCTAGGTATAGAAAAGTTTAGCATCCAGTTCAAAGTACCTAAAATATTGAGTAAAGATATTGACACCTAATAAACTACACATCAAAAATAAATAAATAAATAAACTAATTTATTCCTAGCAATGCTGTAAAATATTTTACTCTGGCTCCTTCGGTCGAATGATAGCATATTTCACAATAAGCCCACTCTTCCACAGTTCAGTATGATCCTCCAGAGAGAATTCCATCGTTCCAACGTTTTCTGGTGACATTTTAAACTCACCCAACTGGATATCAAACCAACTTCCCAAAGGCTTTTCATTTAGACTTTCATTGCGTGTTAGCTTTTTTGAATTTGGAAGGATGATGGTAAGTTTTAATGAGAAATCTTGACATTTGATCATCCTCACGACAAAAACAATTTCGTAAGCTATCCCTGGTGAGAGATCAACTGCCCCATTAAATTGCCCTCTAACATCTAACCAACATACCTGTAATAGCTCAGCGACTTCAATCTCTTCACCACTGCATGCCAAACCGGGTAAATGTTAAAACTGTCCATGGTCATTATAAATAAATAAATAAATCCAGAACCACAAATTTTTGTTTCCTGCACAATTAGTATATATACGATTTGCCCATTTCATGAACAAATGTTCCTTGAAGAAGTACCTCACAGTTAGGCCCTATTGCTTTAGATCAGGCCATTGATCAGTTTCATTGATTAAATGTTAAATAGCCTTAAGTCAACGTAGCATAACACGACATGAAGTACTTAAGCTATACACATCTTATTTAACTTTCCTTGTCTCCTTCAATGTGGTCCATCTCCAATATTGAGGATTATCATTCCAACAGATATTAAGTTCTCTTGCAAATAGCACAAAGCAGTTCTTGTTTGACTTCTTGTCGACAAAATACTTCTGCAATAGGCAGTAATGACAACACAAGCATGGATAGCAATAATTAATGACAATAATGTGAAACCCAAAAAAAAAAAAAAAAAAAAAAGATATTACAAATGATACAAATCAAAATCTTATTAGAAAATAAAAAAAACACCTTGAATTTTTTTTTCGCTAGCTATATTGATTTTGTTATGCCAAAAGTAGCCTCTTGCACTCTTGAATGTCATCAACTTTGCGGCATATCAATCTTACACTCTGCATAACATCAGGAACCATTCTTTCAGACATTGTGACAGTCCCATATTGTTACACATTCCGCATCGGCGGCTGAAAATTAAGAGTAGGAAGACTAGGGTTAAAAGTATTGCTCTTGCAAGCATGCAATGGGTATGGATTGGGATTCCATCTTCTAATGGAATGAATGGTCCATATAGGACAATAGCTTAACACCATTAAATAATAGGAATTTATTAAGTTGAACTAAAAAAAAGTTGAGAAGAAATAATAATAAGTATAGGTAAATAAGTTTTAACATAATATAATAAGTTTGATCATGTTGAAGAACATGATTGAAATTGCTTGTAAATTTCCCTCTTGTTCGGCCGATCCATATGCCCTTCTGTAAATGAATCTCATCGCCGGATGAGCCGAATACCACCAAGTCAGAGTACTTTAATGAAGAGTGTTACCCAAGCTTCAAGCACAGAGAAATGCCGCCTCCAACTAAAAATATGATATCTAAAACGATATCTCAATTTTTTACCCTTTCGAACCTTGCAAATCGACTATTCCTTCACTTGGATGATGTGAAACAGAGAGTAACAATGCATCCCTTTTCCATGAGAGGCGCCTCAAGGTAAGTAAGATTGGCGAATCGTGTTTAGCCCGGCTGACGTCAGTGTAATTTTGCGGGCCTATTATAAGTTCAATACCTTTTGTGAGACTCCTTCCATCCAATTGAATCAAGAGATGTTTTCTTGAATAGATTTATTGCCACATGATTCTTTTTTCCCTTTTTAATGTAACTCGATGTACAGTTTGGATTGCTTTCTCAGAAACTCTCTAACATCAATATCTATGCAATGAGCGGCACACAATGTCAAACAATCTCTTCCTCTATCCATTAACGATTCTCCGTCCAACTTAAATTAATTAGAAGTCATTAGTCGTCACGCACTAGGTGCACAGCAATGCTCCACTCCAACCTTCTCACAAACCTCATCCAACATCTCAAAAAGCTTTCACCGTTTTTGGAAATGTTCAGATGTATTCAACATGAGGGATAGAAAGATAGTTCCATAGGCTATGCACAAAAAATTACAAATTGATCTTCTCTTCTATCCGACTCCACCATGACTATAATGTACACCCAGTCTTCTTCGATTTTCCTGTAACTCATCAAAGCAATTGCATGTCTCTTGCACTTCTTTTAAAAAAGACACTCTACGATCTCAACGTAAGATGTGGCAACAAGGCCCTTTTTCCATAATCTCGGCAATTTCCTTAAACCATAAAGTTGAGAATATAGGGTGTTGACTACCAATTAAAAAGAATTGCACTAGTGGAAAAACCGGGCAATACTTGTTTTGACAACAACACAATCATCTCTCTCTTCTTTCTTAACATAATTGATTGGATAGTTTTTTTGATTTTGATGCGCGAGAGCTTATTCACCACAATTTTCCATGAGGCCCATAATGGTTTTTGTTTGTTTCTATGGCCACCGGCAAGCAATAGATCCACTTCTTCATGCAAATCAATCTATCACCAATATCAGCATTCTCTTTTCTTATTTTGAGTAACCCCAATTTTTGAGTCTCAAACAGACTTGATCAATTTTCGCCTAACATCTTCGGAACTTGGACATGTTCAACATTTTGGATGAGTGCTGCCAAATGGTGTTTTCATCTATATTTCCTCCAGAACACAGTAATATTACACGTATTTGCTTTTTATCCTTTTTGGCTTGCAAGCATCCACTTTCAATGCCCGTGTTCCCAACGCAGGACAGATTTTAGACCTAGCAACATTTTTCTCTCTCCTCACCTCTTCCTGAAGCCAGAGCTGACATTCTGCAATTGCAACAAATTTGTACAACATTTGCATAATTGTAAAAAGGCACAAACATCAGACAATTTATGTTTTTAATTTCCATTCCGAGGGGCTAATTAAAAACAACGTAGCATTATCATTTATTAGCATTGCATAGCAGACAGAAGAAGAAGGAAAATTGAAGAAGGAAAAAAGAAAATGAAAGATAAGTAGAAACCAGAGCAAACAGAAGAGGTGATTCTAATGTGAAGACTAATGCCCAAGAATGAATGTGATTCAAGTTGAAGAAAAATATACAATAGGAGTGATTCTGAAAGAAATAAATAAAATAAATACGAATAATGACTTGGTCATGTCTAAAAGCTTTAACAACCATAAGGCTCAGATCATAGCCCAGATGTGATTCACAGTCAGTAAAATCTTCTTTAGCTGATGAAAGGAATGATTGTTCAGGTTGTTTTTAGTATTTTTTTACGAAAGAAGATATATATAGAAGTATAATCAGAGGTCATTTACAGGAACTAAAAATAAGATAGAATATAATAAATCAAAACAAAATAAATAAATAAATAGAGCCAAAAAAAAAAAAATCTCACCGGAAGGGAGGTGATCGTGAAGAAAGGAGAAGATCAATTGAAGAACAGAAAGAAAGACTGCTGGAGTACAGCAAAGAAAGAAGAGAGTCTCGAATTTGAAGAAAAAAAGACAGAGCAGCAGACCCTTGAGTGGATCGCAGCGAAGAGAGAGGGGAGAAGAAGAAGAAGAAGAAGAGGAAGCCCGCGTAACTGGAGTCGTTTGCCCAATCGCTTCGTTGAATGTTGAATGATTGAATCTCTCTTCCTCAGGTCTCTTCTTCGTGGTTGCCCAATTTTGCTTGGTGCTTCTCTGCTTCTCTCATTCATTTTACGGTCCGATTTGGCTTTTAAGTGCCCAACAAATCCTTCAAATCTGGATCGCATGTGGGTCCGCTGATGCCAGAAAATGCGCATCCTGATTCCCGATCCTGGTCCGATCCCACCGACGATCCACCATGATCCTGCTTCTGGGGTCGATCCGATGTACGATCCGGGATCGAATAGTGTATACATGAAGTCATTAGGATCACAACTTGCTAATAACGTGGTGAATTGCTCTGTTTGGTTCGAAGATCAAAAATATTTTCCATGTAATTTGTTTTAAACCATGCCTGTATTTCCACGCAACCCGATTTCTTTTGAAGAGGTAGAACCAGCTCAAAAAGCTCTAAGATAAGGTAATACTTAGAAATTCATCCCATTTGTCCTCCAGGCCCTTTGGTTTCGTGTTCGGGACTTTTTGGGATTTAGGTCTGTAAAAGGAGAAGAGAGGAGAAAGTTGAAGAAAGAAAAAAATAAGGGCAAAACGACTCATTGTTTGCTTGCACGTAGGATACCGTTGCAGAAAACTCCTACAGAGGATCAGACTCAATGGTGGGTGTGATTTAGGATAAAATAATGAGAGTGGGTGCATGGTGGTGGGTGTGATAATTTTTATGTACAAAATAGCCTACAAACTCATGTAAAATTATATAAAATAGTTAAAAATTATGAACTAAAAATATATTTTGAATGTCTAAAATAATTTGCCAAAACGGGAAGTTGGGATTAAAGCCTTAAAATTCCAAGTTTTGCTACTAAAAAATATAAAAATAGGATATTACCATTTCATCATTCGGGTTTTGAAAGAAAAACGCCCGAAATTGTAAGCCGTCAAAAATGGGTCTACCACCCTGCTACACTATCCCCCGTTCCACCGATGAGAGAGAAGAGAGAGAGCATTATGATAGGAGAGTTGTAGAGAGCCTGTGCAACGCCAGAGCGGGCCCAATTGATCGTTGATCACATCTCACAATCCAGGATTTTGATCTTTTTCCAAATCTGTTTGAAAAGTTGAAGGAAAGAAAGATAAGACAAGAGGAAAAGAGAAAGGGAAGGCAAGATCTTAGGGGTATATGGTGGTGGCAAGGCGAAAAAGGCCTGAAAACATCGCAGTAGGGATGGAAGCGGCAGTCGATTATGGGAGTGAATAAAGGGCTAAGAAAAGATCAAAGGGGGGGTAGGTTGGTTGAGTGGTGAAAATGGTGGCCTCGCCAACGTAGAGAGGTGAAGAGGAAGGAGAAAAGGCGGAAAAAAAGAAATTAGGCAAAAATAGAAAAGGGCAACAACATAATTTTTACCATGTTTTTCAAAAAACAGTTTTATACTTCATATCATATGCAATAATTTTAGAATTTCTCCTTATCTTTACAATTATTCATGTTCTCATAGACTTATTTTTCTAAATAAGTTTCTCATATAGAATTTTAGAAAGCAATCCTTCTCACTGTCCTTTAATTGGACATGGAGGCCAATCTAGGCCACTTTGGCTAAAACTGGAACGGGCCTCGCTCGACGATTCAAACATCTCATTTTGTAAAACTCATCGAGGCACATTTATTCCTACAAAAATTAAATTTGATTAGATATCAATAATCACGTTGATTAAATTCACATTTGTCTAGAGAAAAAAAAAAACAAAATTTGTATGACAGTAATTAAATGTGTAGGCAAGTGGTTTTTTTGAATTATATTATGTATGATTACTAATTATTACGCGGTTGCTAACGTGTTGCTCTTTTTTCAAACCTCTAAAAATAAAATACAAGACAGAAAAGATAATATTATAAGATTTGAATAGGACAGATTGATTTGCACTGTGACTCAACATTTAAAAAACATAATGTCCCTGTCAAACAGTGTTGGGGAGTCCAAATCCTCTGTAGGGTTTTCCTACAAAGCATCCTGCAGTGCAAGGAAAATGAAGTCAATTCTGCGCCATCGTTTGTGCCCTTTTTTTCAGCAGCAGCTTCCTCTTTCTTCTCTACTTCTTCTCTTTTCAAAGACCTAACCCCAAAGTCCAAACCAGAAACCAGAAGAGGACTGGAAAGACGAACCAGAGGACCAGTGAACGACGGCAGACAACGACAGCGGAAGACGAACTGCGGAGTCTGACCAAAAGGCCCAAAATGTTCTCAAATTCTATATATATGTTATATATATCATATATGTATCAAGTTTCTATATATATGTTATAGGTTCTATATTTGTCTCTTCTTCTTCTTCTTCTTCTTCTTCTTCTTCTTCTCTCTTCTTCTCTATCTATCTATATATACATACATATAATGAATAATATGACTACCATAGTTTCCTAATTCAATTTTGTAAAAAATAGACTTTCTTTCTCATTGCTCATGGTTCTCTCTCTCTCCTCTCTATATATATATATATATAGAATACACAATTCAATGAATGAGTGTTTCAAGCCCCAAAAAAGTTGCTAAGCCACTAATAAGCAAGGTTGTTAAGATCGGGATCCTACACAGGATCGTTTTAGGGGTCTGTCGGATCGGATCAAGGATCGTAAGATCCTACTAAAATGATAAAAAAATGCAATAATTTTTATATGACTAAATAATACCATCAAAATATATATAGAATAAGCCTCAAAAAAAGAAATATAGCAATTCAATGTAGCATTCAAACGTTTTTTTTTTCAAAAAAAGAAGTCAAAAACATAATAAAACCAAATACTAACACTTGCACACCATTGTCATTGTTTCTTAATGAAAACAAAACAAACTAAATAAAGGAAGAACAAATAAAAACTACAATAAGACATCATTATCGCCGAAATTATCATCATTATTGCCACAATCAACATTAATCATTGCCACATCATCACCACCCCCGGTGCCATCCAAGTCCTCAATGTCTTCACCAATAGTAGCATCTTCAAAGTCGTGATCAAAATCCCTTCGAGCATCCATGTTTTGATCCATAGCATCATCATCACTTACTTCATGAACTTCATCATGTTCTATGAAGCACGGGCACGGACGGACACGGATATGGACACACATACACACACGAACACAGACACGGGACACGGCATTTTTAAAAAATGGGGACACGGACACGGCTGGGGACACGGCAAATTTTTTTTTATATAAATATTTTTATTTTAATACAAGTTAATTATTTTATTTAATTATTATATTTTTAAATAAATATGATTCTATTAATTTTTTTATTTTATTTTATCTACTATTTTTTTTGATTAATATATACAAGATATAAGATATGCCTTTTTATTAATATTAAATAAATACACATATATATATATATTATATATGAATAAGATCAGATCAGAGCAGAGAGACGCGAGAGCGATTGACGCGATCGATGCGAGAACGAGAGAGAGAGAGAGAGAGAGCGAGAGGGAAGGCGAGAGACAGGGACGAGAGAGAGACTTACGGATGGAGGTCGACAGGCGAGGCGAGTTGAGATTGAGGTCATGGATGGAGGTCGACAAGCGAGAGAGAGAGTGACTTACGGTGGTCGACTGAATGGAGGTCGACAGGTCGACTGGATCGAAGACTATGTTTGTATCTTGACCTTTACTCTTCTCCTTTACTCCTCTTTTGCTCTTTGCTCTTTATGTCCAGATTTGGACACGCGTGTCCCCGCCATGTCTCCGCCGTGTCCCTACAAAAAAAATAATTAAATTAAAGGGACACGCCATCCAGCGTGTCCCGTACGTGTCCCCGGCGTGTCCCCGTGTCAGACACTGCCACGGCATGAAATCTGGCATGTCCATGCTTCATAGATCATGTTCTCTACCAATATGATCACGACCTAAGTTGGAGTAAACAAAAAAATTAAAAGTAAAATTAAAGTTATAATTTCTAATTAAAACTAAAAGATGTGTATATAAACTTACAAGCTTCTTCCAAATTCCTTGCAAGGGCCTCCACTTCGTCTTCATCCGAATCACATCCATGTCGAGCATTCCTATCAAGCACACTCAACCAATTTCCTTCTCTTGGAAGAGTCGGAGTCTCTCTCTCTGTTATCCATTCATCATTTGATTGGATATCATCCAAACATAATGGATTCACGATTGCTTGTCTATTCATGTGTCGTTGTCTCAATTTCAAATTGTACATGACAAACACCAAGTCATTCATTCTCTTTTGGTGCAAACGATTCCTCCGCTTTGAATGTACCATCTCAAAAGCACTCCAATTTCGCTCACACCCCGATGAACTGCTTGTTAAACTTAATATCCTAATTACAAACCTCTTCAACTCAGGGCATTCATCACCAAAAGAGTCCCACCAATCAGCTACATGAAAGTTTAGTTATAAATTTAAAATTGATGAAATGAAAACAAATAATAAGATATTAAAAATGATACAAATCAACTTATAGAAAAAATAAAAAAACACCTGGAGATTTCTTTTTCCTAGCCATGATTGCATTTTGTATGCCAAAGAGCCCTCTTGCACTCTTGAATGCATCAATTTGCAAATCTATCTTCACCCTCTCATTAACATCAGGAACCATTCTTTCAAGACATTTGTACAGCCCAATTTTAACCTCCGCATCGGGCTGAAAATTAAGACTGTAATGAAACTGAGGGTTCAAGAAGTATGCTGCAACATGCAATGGGTGATGGAGTTGGGATTCCCATCTTCTATCAATGATGGTCCATATAGGATCATAGCTAACACCATTAAATAAAGAATATTAATGAACAAATAAAAAGTTTAGAGAAATATAATAGTAAAGTAAATAAGTTTAACTAATTAAAAGTTTATCATGTGAAAACATTATTGAAATTGCTTTAAATTTCCTCTTTCGCACGATCCATTGCCTCGTAAATGAATCCCATCGCCGGATGCTCATCCGAATCCACCAATCTAAGTACTTTAATAAGAGGTACCACAGCCTTCAAGCACATAGAAATGCCCTTCCAAAAAATATGATTATCTAAAACGATATCTTCAATTTTTTTACCCTTTTCAGACCTTGCAAATCGACTATTCCTTCACTTGGATGATGTAAACAAAGAGAACAATGCACCCTTTTGCTCATGAAGGCGCCTCAAGGTCAAGTAAGATGTGGCAAATCGTGTTACCGCGGGCCTAATAAGTTCAATACCTTTTGTGAACTCCTTCATCCAATGAATAAGATTTGTTCTTGAATAAATGTATGCCACAATTCTTTTTCCCTTTTTAATTGTAACTCGATGAAGTTGGATTTGCTTCTCAAAATCCTCTAACATCAAATCTATGCAATGAGCGGCACAAAGTGTCCAAAACAAGCTCTTCCTCTTATCTATTAACATTTCTCCCGCCAACTTATAATTAGAAGCATTATCGATCACCACTTGCACAACATGCTCCACTCCAACCTTCTCAACAATCTCATCCAACATCTCAAAAACCTTTTCACCGGTTTTTGAAATGTCAGATGTATCCAATGAGGATAGAAAGATAGTTCCATTAGGGCTATTGACAAGAAAATTACAAATTGATCTTCTCTTTCTATCTGACCATCCATCGGACATAATTGTACACCCAGTCTTCTTCCATTGTTCCTTGAACTCATCAAGCAATTGCAATGTCTCTTGCACTTCTCTTTTTAAAAATGACACCCTAATTTCACGGTAAGATGGTGGCACAAGGCCTTTTCCATAATCTCCAATTTTCTTAACCATAAGTGGAAATATAGGGTTGTTGACACAATTAAAAAGAATTGCACTAGTGTAAAAAAACCGGGCAATTGTTTGACAAACATCATGTCTCTCTTCTTTCTTAAATAATTGATTGATAGTTTTTTTATTTTGATGCCGAGACTTATTCACCACAAATTTATCCATACGCCCATAATGTTTTTGTTTGTTTCTATGGCCACCGGCATGCAATAATTCCACTTCTTCATCAGAATCATCATCACCAATATCAAGCATTCTCTTTTTCTTATTTTGAGACTCCAATGTTTGAGTTCTCAAAAGACTTATAAATTTTTCCCTAACATCTTCCGGAACTTGGGGACATGGTTCAACATTTTGATGAGTGCATGCCAAATGGTGTTTCAATCTATATATTCCTCCAGAACAAGTAATATTACAGTATTTGCATTTTACCTTTTTGCTTGCAGCATCCACTTCAATGCCGTGTTCCCAACCAGGATCAAATCTTAGACCAGCAACATTTTTCCTCTTCCTCCCTCTTCCTGAACCAGAGGCTGACATTCCTGCAATTGCAACAAATTGTAAACATTTGGCAAATTGTAAAAAGGCACAAGACACAGACAATTTATGTTTTTAATTTCCATTCCCAGGGGCTAATTAAAACAACAGTAGCATTATCATTTATAGCATTGCAGGCAACAAAGAAGAAGGAAAATTGAAGAAGAAAAAAGAAAAGAAAAAAGAGAAACAGAGCAAACAGAAGAGGTGATTCAATGTGGAAGACTAATGCCCCAAAATGAATGTGATTCAGTGAAGGAAAAAAATAAATTGGAGGTGATTCAATGAAGAAATAAATAAATAAATAAGATAATGACTTGGTCATCTAAAGAGCTTTACAACAGTAAGGTGCTCAGATCATACCCAGATGTTGATTCACAGCAGTAAAATTTCTTTATTGATGAAGAATGATTGTTCAGTTGTTTTTAGTATTTTTTTTACAGAACAAAAATAAATAAATAAATAAATCAGAGGTAATTTACAGAACTAAAAATAAATAAATAAATAAATCAAAACCAAAAACAAATAAATAAATAAGAGCCAAAAAAAAAAAATCACCGAAGGAGGTGATTCAGTGAAGAAAGGAGAGATCAATGAAGAAAGAAAGAAGAGCTGCTGAGCAGCAAAGAAAGAAGAAGAGTCTTCGAATTCGAAGAAAAAAAAACAGAGCAGCAGACACCTGGAGTGGAGTCGCAGCGAAGAAGAGAGAGGGAGAAGAAGAAGAAGAAGAGGAAGCAGCGTACCTGGAGTCGTTTGCCCAAGTCAGGCTTCGTTTGATGTTGAATGATTGAATCTCTCTTTCCCCAGGTCAGTCTTCTTCGTTTGCCCTAATTTGCTTTGCTTCTCTGCTTCTCTCATTTCATTTTAGGTCCCGATTTGGCTTTTAAGTTGCCCAAAAAATCCTTCAAATCTGGATCGCATGGGGTCGCGATCCAGATGCGATCCTACCGATCCCGTCGATCCCACCACGATCCCACCATGATCCTGCTTTGGGGTCGATCCGATGTACAATCCGGATCGAATAGTGTATAATGAGTCGTAGGATCACAACCTTGCTAATAAGGTGATGATGCCCTGTTTGGGTGTCAAGATCAAAATATTTCCATTAAATTTTTACCATGCCTTGTATTTCCATGCAACCCAGATTTCTTTTGAGAGGAAACCCTAGCTCAAAAGCTCTAAGATTAAGGTAATACTTAGAAAATCATCCATTTGTCTTCCAGCCCTTTGGTTTTCGTTTTGGGACTTCTGGGGATTAGGTCTGTGAAAAGAAAAGTAGAGGAGAAGAAGCTGAAGAAAGAAAAAAAAAAGGGGCAAAACGACGTCATTTTACTTGCACTGCAGGATACCTTGCAGGAAAACCCTACAGAGGATCAGGACTCAAATGGTGGGGTGTGATTAGGAAAATAGATGATGAGTGGTGATAGTGGGGTGTGATAATTTTTATGTACAAATACCTAAAATCATGTAAAATTATAAAATATTACAAATTAATGAACTAAAAATATATTTTAATGGTCTAAAATAATTTGGCCAAAACGGGTGAAGGTTGGGATTAAAGCTTAAATTAAATTTTTCTACTAAGAAATTCATAAAATAGGATATTCCAATTTTCATCATCGGGTGTTTGGAAGAAAACGCCCAAATCTTAAGCCGGTCAAAATAGGGTATCTACACCTTGCTACCCCTAGCCCCTTCCACGATGAGAGAGAGAGAGAGAGAATTATGAGAGAGAGTGTGAGAGAGACTGTGCAACAGAGCGGGAAATTGATCGTGATCACTCTCACAATCAGATTTGATTTTTCCAAATCTGGTTGAAGAGAGTGAAGGAAAGAAAGATAAGAAAGAGGGAAAAGAGAAAGGGAAGGCAAGACTTGGGGTAATGGTGGTGGCAGCGAGAAAAGGGCTTGAAAAGTCATCGGAGGTTAGGGATGGGAGCGGTAGCGATGATGGGAGTGAATGAAAGGGCTAAGAAAGAGTCAAAGGGGGCTAGGGTTGGTGATGGTTGAAAAGGTGGCCGCCAACTAGAGAGGGTGAAGAGGAAGGAGGAAAAGAGGAAAAAAAGAAATTAGGGCAAAAAATAGAAGGGCAACAACATGATTTTTTACCATGTTTTGCAAAAAACAATTTAACTTCCATATCATATGCAATTATTTTAGATTTCTCCTTATTTTACAATTATTTCATTTCTCATACTATTTTTCTATAATTTTCCCTAAAGTTTTAGAAAGCAGATCCTCTCCTGTCCTTAATTGGACATGAGTCCAATCTAGGCCACTTTGGGCCTACTTTGGGACGGGCCCGCCTCGACGATTCAAACCATTCATTTTGTAAAACTCATCGAGCACATTATTCCTACAAAAATTAAATTGATTAGATATCAATAATCACTTGATTAAATCACATTTGTCTAGAGAAAAAAAAAATTTGTATGACAATGTAATTTAATGTGTGGCAATGGTTTTTTAATTTATATATGTATTATTACTAATTATTACCATCGTTGCTTAACGGTTCTCTTTTTCAAACTCTTAAAAATAAGATACAAACAGAAAAGAAATATATAAGATTTGTATATAGAATGATTTGATTGCATTGTGACTCACAATTTTAAAACATAATGTCTGTCAAAGTGACATTTAACTACCTAAATGTCAACCATCCCATGCCATGATTATTGATCAAAATTGAATAAGAATTAACATTTTCCTATATATATTTTGATGAACGCATCTCATATATATAATTAGGATATATATATATATATATAAATATATCAAGCATTATACAAAAAGTTTTGTTTCACTTATTGATTACACTACACAGGCAGTCACACATCCCTTGCCTAGATATAGAAAAGTTTAGCATCCAGTTCAAAGTACCTAAAATATTGAGTAAAGATATTTGAGAGGGGAGATTTGCGCCGTTAGTACAGCCGAGCTAAGATGGGACAGATCTGTTTTGCTCGGTCTTAAAGACCGGCTGACCGGCGTGAACTAAGCCTGGCCGAGCTGCGACTCGCAAATATTCGGCAGTGCACACAGCCAAGTGGCGAGACCGGGCTACCGATAGCTCGGGCTAAACTATAGACAAGCGAGGGATGGTACGTCTCTGACCAGTGAGCCGAGATGGGCAGATTCCAGAGAACCTTGGATGAAGGTAGAACGGACGGAGGCCGGCATGCCTCGCGACCGGTATGCCACGACAAACCGGTCAACGCCAGCCCGGCCCCTGAGCATCACCCCGCCGCCCCTTTGCCAAGGGGCAGTCCGGTGGGACATAGCGCGGTTGAGCACCTGTAGTGATAGTTCTTCGTGGGAGATAGGCCGGTCATGGTACTGCGGTCAGGTGTGCCACCTGGGCCAATGGCGCAAGGGAAGGGACATCTGCTCCACGCATGCCTCAATACCGTTAGACAGTTCTGTGTGTACTGGTGGGAGGACTAAGCCTTTACACGCGTAAGGTGGTGAGAGGCGAGCACTGCCACCTGTCTTGGGAAGGACAGCAGAGGTAGTGCGCGCATAATCTTGAGGCTGCATGGCCAGCCTTGAAATAGGGAGGAGGACGAACGTTAGAGGTATGCAACTTCTCCCCCAAAAGAAAATACTCTCTCTCTATCTGTCTTCTCCTTCCTCAAGTGGACTGACTTGATCGTCGGAGGGTCTATCCGGCACACCACGCAGGCAGCCTCACGTTTCTGTAGTTAATGTAGACGCCGGTCGAGAGAAGCTTGCGAGTACAAGGAGTACGCGAAAGAGAAGATATTTCGTCCGCGTACTTGTAAAGATATTGACACTAATAAACTACACATCAAAAATAAAAAATAAATAAACTAATTTATTCCTAGCAATGCTGTAAAATATTTTACTCTGGATCCTTCTTCGGTCGAATGATAGCACATTTTCACAATAAGCCACTCTTCCACAGCTCAGCATGATCCTCCAGAGAGAATTCATTGTTCTAACATTTTCTGGTGACATTTTAAACTCACCCAACTGGATTCAAACAACTTCCTAAAGGCTTTTCATTTAAACTTTCATTGCGTGTTCGCTTTTTTGAATTTGGAAGAATGATGGTAAGTTTTAAGAGAGAATCTTGATATTTGATCTCTCACAACAAAAACAATTTCGTAAACTATTCCTGGTGAGAGATCAATTGCCCATTAACTTGCCTCTAACATCTAACCAACATACCTGTAATAGCTCAGCCACATCAATCTCTTCACCACGGCATGCCAAACCAGGTAAATGTTAAAACTGTCCATGTTCCTTATAAATAAATAAATAAATCCGAAACCACAATTTTTGTTTCCTGCACAATTAATATATATATATACAATTTGCCCAATCATGAACAAATGTTCCTTGAAGAAGTAACTCACAGTTAGGCCCTATTGCTTTAGGTCATGCCATTGATCGGTTTCATTGATTAAATGCTAAATAGCCTTAAGTCAACATAGCATAACATGACATAAGTTCTTAAGCTATACCATTATTTAATTACCTTGTTCCTTCAAGTGTGTCCATCCCCAATATTGAGGATTTTCATTCAACAGATATCAATTTCTCTTGCAATAGCACAAAGCAGTTCTTGTTTGACTTCTTGTCGACAAAATACTTCTCCAATAGCAAGTAATGACAAACACATGCATGGATAGCAATAATTAATGACAATAATGTGAGACCAAAAAACAAAAAAGGAAAAAAAAAAAAAAAAGCAATATCATGTTTGGGTGGCATATTATTTTTGTATTTCAAAGTTAAGTTTCAATCCATCACTTATGAAATATGAAATCTATACTGATTCATAAATAATAGTGTGACTAGTTCATATATGAAACTGCGCTTTAAGTAAAACTTGCCAGTTTGTTGGCTTTAAGATATCCAGTGCAGAGCTGCTCACACAGCTTGTCAGGGGAAGACGTTCAATTGATATATTTGCATCTTTCAAAATCGCTGGGAAATTAAGTGGGGGCCTTGTTATTCCTTTTCTTGCTGCAATTTCCTTTGCTTTCCTTGATGAATCTGCCTTGCTGGTTTGTTCAACTTGTTGGATCTCTGAAGTCCCATTAGGCACCATCTAGCCACCACCAAAAAGGAAAAGCAAAATTAAGGAAACAATAGTTATAAAAATAAAATAAAAAACAAAATAATAAAATCTAAATGCTATTTCAGATTTTAAGGGATAGAAAGAAAGAAACAACCACATACATTCACATCTGGTGCACCATCAATTTGCATAGAGAAAGAGGACCTCAAGAAGGGGGCTTTGATGATGGGATTCTCCTTTCTTTTTATAATATTCTCTTCCCCTTCATTCTGTAAGGAAGTTTTTTTTTTTTTTTTTGACATGTCCGAATGATTTCAGATTCTATCATCAACCAAATGGGCTGACCTGGACATTAATACAAGCAAATTGGAGGCCATGTACACAAAGTGACCTCCAATTTGTTAATGATTCCCTCAGCCAACAACTTTGAATCCTAAGAGGTCGTGTACTGTTTACATGGCTGACAATTTGAAGCACTTTTTTGTCTTTTGAGATACAGATTCTGTACCCTACTATGCTAATCACCAAGTGTCACTTTCTATGTTATTAGGCAAACACAAGTATAAATGTAAATGAGTTTCACCATGTAAACCGATTATAATTTAGTAGGACACCATGTGACAAATGCCTTAAAGTACCTAAAAATTGCTTGTCTTGTGGACATGACCAAGCCAGGTTGGAGCTAGAATTCTTAACTCGGGGATTATATATATATATATATAGAGAGAGAGATTGGTGGGCATTAAATTATAAAATAAAATATATAAAAAAAATAAAAAAACAAAAAGATGATACTTCATAGTATTTTAAAGAAACACTTGCATAATATGAGACCCTATAAAAAGTTCTCTATGACGCGAATGGGATTTTTTTTCTTCTAAATGATGAAGCTTATCACTAGATTGCAAAACATGTGACATGTTGGTATTTTTACTCAACTAAAAATTTAAAACTTCTTCAAGCTTGCAGTATCAAGTTATTAAAGTTTATCCCAAGGAGGTGTTGGGGATTATTGATTCCATGAATGTAAACAGAAGCATACTCACACACACACTAAAGAGAAAAATATACAGAGATTTACATGAATTGGCGCAAACTTGCCTATGTTTGCAGGCAAGAGAAAAAATACAATCATGAGACTAAAAAACACTCAAACTTGACACTAATACCCGAGCATTTAAACAATCTCTATTTCCATGCTCAAGGGAAATTGAGCCCTAAAGCAAACCCACTACCCCCACTCCCAATATTTTTCTCTCCCTTACATCCCTACAAATCCTCTCAATCTCACACACCTAGAATTCCCTTAAACTCACTCGCAACATAGCAAGAAGACTAACACAAGCATGATTTTCAAAATTGCATTTACAAAAATTTGTAAATCGCAGTTAAGAACGTCTGCATGTCGATAATGCATCTAACTTCATCCTATCCACTCATGCATATACTAAATAGAATGGCTTAAACTACTAAAATCTCACATTGAAGTCACTTTGCAATCCTAAACCCCCTCTCCCAATACTACACAAA